ACCAAGTACGGGTTCAACGCCGCCTGTTATGGGCGAGGCCAAGACCCTCAACGTCGGGTTGGGCCGCTTTGTGCAGAGCCGACCTTACGCAGGTGTTGTTCATCCGGGCGGGGCCGTGTTTAGTGTTGGTCGCCTATGGGGCGATAACGCCCAGGGTGACCTCGCCCTCGAGCAGCCCGATGAGCGCCTGGTACACGGCGAGCGTGGACATGAGCAGCATGTGCAGCAGCATGGCGATGGCCGTGAGCGGCGTGCGCACCAGGCGCTCCGTCAGGTCCCGCAGCTGCAGCCAGGCCCGGCGGTAGGCGTCCACCCGCGACGCCACCAGCCAGGGCCGCCTCAGCTCCTGTGGACAGGGCACGCGGACCTGCAGCAGCAGCCCCCGCTGGTACCTGCCAGAGTGCCCGGCAAACGCACTGCAGGTCTTGGTTACCTTGGACATCGTGGTCCGCAGCGCGTCGGCGAAGCGCTTGACGCAGTAGGCGCTGCCGGCCACGAGGCACGACACTATGATGGGCACGACGAGCACCTGGTTGTGCGCGAAGATGTGCGTCCAGTGGCCGCCCTCGGCCGCGAGCAGGTAGATCCACATGGCCTCGCAGGCGGGCACGAACACGGCGAGCAGCACCACAGCGCTCCAGGACAGAGTGCGCGCCCAGCGCCGCGGCGACCGACGGAAGGTGGCGCCAAAGGAGTCCTGTGAGTATGCCGGCCGTCGGGCGTTCGTCAGCACGGATAGCGATTCCGTATATGGATAGGTAACGTTCAATGCAGTTTTGTTGTCAAAGTGAAATCCGAATTTGAACAGGTCCATATGAAAAAATGCGTGAATTGAAACGATTTAGGGGTGGTCCCAGCGAGGTTGTGGCACCAGGGCGGCACGCACCATGAGCTCGGCGGCGGCGGGCTGGTGCCGTCGAACGTGCCGCGCCTCGAACCACAGCAGCGGCGTCATGCAGAGCCCCGTCATGGAGCCGAAGCTCACCACCGAGGTGAAGCGGGTGTTGAGGCTGACGCGCTGCCGTGTCTCCAGCAGCTCCAAGCGGTCCGTGACGAGCCGCCAGCCCGACCAGCAGATGGCCAGCGTCACGGCCAGCGAGTACAGCAGCGTGGAGCGGCCCGGGTGGAAGGAGAAGCGCTCTGCGGACAGAGCGTTTGACAGCGAGGCCGACGAGGCCAACGGCAAGGCGACCAGTCCTCGTGTGCAGCAGCCCTCGGTGCAGCCCACGACTATACTCACCAGGCCTGAAGGCGACGGGCAGCAGCCCACACACGGCCAGCCCCAGCGCGAGCGGCCTCAAGTCCTCGTACATCCCGTTGCCGCCGAAAAGATCGTCGTGGTTTTCGGCGACGTCGCGCCCCCCTTGGTCGGCGGTGGCCTTGACAGGCTTGGCGGCCTCCTCCGGGGCCTGCGGCAGGGGAGCCACGGCCGCGGGTGGAGGGAAGCTGGGCGAGGACCTGACGCGCTGCGCGCCCAGCCATTGCAGCTCGTAAGAGTCGCCCTGCCAGGCGCGGCTGGTTCGCTGTGGCGCCGCCGGCTGCGGCACCTGCAGTAACTGTGGCACCTGCGCCAGCTGGGACACAACACACAAAGCCGGTCGTCGCCGTTGTCTGACACGAGTAGACCTCTACTTCACCCGGAGAGCTCACCCTGGTCGCGTCCATGGGCGCGAGACGGGCGCGGGACGGGCTCGCGGTGGGGACTGGGTCGCCGACTGCGCCAGGAGCGGAGCGCGCGGAGCTGCTGGAGTTCGATCCGCTACGAGCTTGCGCTGGTGGCCACTCATTGCCGCACGCCCCCGCTGTTGTGTCCAGCGGTCAGGTTCACGGTGTTGAGCCGTTGGATTGGACATACCGAAGTCACAAGGCGTCCTCCAGAACAGGCATCTCCAGCGCGCGCGGGGGCGGGGTCCCATGTCCCGAGGTCCGACCCGAGGTGGCACTAATGACCCCATAGATTCTCTGGCCACTGGCGTCTTCCAGCACTGGCTGGGGCGCAGGCGGGGACGATTTGGTCTTTATAACCCTAGTTTACAGATGAAGATATGCGTAGGGATGCAAGTTCAGTTAGCTTTGCCGTATGGGGACGTGATGGGGTGTGCGTGAGGGTGCGCCGTGCAGGGTGCGGACGGGCCGACCGGCGAGGTGTGTCAGCTCGCAATTACAGCGCTAACAGCGGTGCCGTGTGTGTCCCGGCCGCGCCCGCCACTCAATGCTATCGCCATCAGTGTCGCTACAACAGCACTCGCAGGGCGGGGGCTTTATTCAGCTTATTTGTGGAAGAGATCGTTGGTGGGGACAGTACACGTGCAGGGCAGGGCGCCCCTGTCCTGGAGGGGTGGCCTTGGTAAGGTCCCGGTCGAGCGCTATGCCCCCCCCCCCCAATGTAAGGCCAACAGTCCGAGTCCGGCGTCGTGGTTGTCATCCCGGTTACATTATAGGGATCACCCAGAAAGCATGTCTGCCCTTCGCCGTTTCGAAACTGTCTAGTTCATCCGAGGCAAGCGCTCTTAGCGCCTGATAGGTAGGCAACATTCCGCCTGCAGTGCATGCGTGTACTGCGGATTGGCCTACCCCGAGTCTCGCAGGCGCTGAGCGCCGAGCTCACGTGATTTGTCGAATGAATCTGAGAAAAAACAGACTCACTTCATGGGCTATTCCATGCGACAACAGAAGGCGAGCCTGGGTACTGGAACCAGGGTTCGACTCACGGAAAAAAAAGGATTCGTGGAAGTACCTTGACTGGGTTCCGACTTACACAAAAAAGAGGCTCTGGCCTTTAGTAGCG